ATTATTATTATTATTTTTTTATTATATTATTACTATTATTATTATTATTATTATTATTATTATTATTATTATTATTATTATTATTATTTTCATTATTATAATATTCGTGCATTTCGGATGAAATTAAACTAGCGTTTCTGTCCAATCAACAAGAACGGATCTTACATCTCCATTGGAATAGAATGGACCTATAGTAGTAGTAGAATAGTTTTTTTTTAGTGAAAACTTCTTTAGCATCGGAGCGATTTCTTGATCTTGTATGGAGCATAGAAGGCGGAAGAGTGCGTGTCTTCCAAACTATAGGTAGGGATCCTGTAGAAGGGAAGCGCCATTCATATTTAGCTCATGTGCCATTGGCCGAAAATTTTGGGGGACCGCTTGAATTTATAATAATTTTTTCGTGTAACCTATTCTATTTTAATATAAATTTTTAATTATCAATAAATATAGTTCATTTTTTTTTCTGTATTTGATGCAATTCATTATTTCATAATTATTTCAATGTTTGAGTCATTCGCGCACAAAATCGAGTTCCGGTCCCCCAGCAATGTACATGGCGCATCCCTCCTATAGGGTCCCTATCAACTAATGTAATAAAGGTTTGGTTTTTTTCAAAAGTTTGGTCCAATAATGACTATAGTCCATATATCGATCGACCAATCTCCAATAAGCATTTACCAGAAATCCAAAAGTGAAACATCCTGAGGATTTTATTCAGTTACGGTTAGTAAGTTCAAGTTATCGCAGTGCTCAAAGTAAATTTATAAGCTTTTTTTCCTTTGTAAAAAAGATTTTCAATTTTGTAGGCGCTTTTCTAACGCCTTTGTTTATTTTTTTCATAAAATTGAAGTGATTTTTGTAGTGTTAATAAATTATTTGCTCGAATGAAAATAAGAATAAAATAGATGCCACGCGATTTTCTATTTCTTAGGAGAAATGAAACTTATTAGTTCTATATAACAACGCTAGTTTCTATATAACAATAATTTTTTATGAAAATATGTTTATACTACCGATCGTCGAGTTAACGTTTTCTTTTTATCTTCATTATTTTTTTCTTTAATTTTTATTTTCTTTATAGTGTGATTCAGTGAAATTTTTAAAGACGATCGAGGTGATTAAATTTATATGAACGCCCTGGTAAGACTTTCATTGCAACTTTACACAATTTTTATTACATATACATGTGTGTATGATGCGTGCATAATATCATCTTATACGTAAAATACACACATACACACACACATACTCTTTACGCTATAAGGACATAAAATGTTGTTTGATGATAACGTTTAAAGGACAATATCATTGAGGAAGAAGTGTGTGTGTGTGGTACATCATCTCGATGCCAAAATGATTAATTATATTATTCAGCATTCTTCTACGATCTCTTTTCATGAAAATGTTCGAACGATCGTACACGCTTAACTGTTTTTATATAACTCGTGGTTAGGCGTTATTAAGGGATCATCTCAGTGTAAAATTAAAAAAAAATCGATTTTTTTTTGTCTTATCTTGAAGTACATATAGTTGTGCGTGTTCTGTAAAATTTTCAAATTTAAATACGCATTTTTCTCAAAATGCCCTTTTTACAAACGGTGTTACCTCTTAGAGCGAGAGTTTTCAAGCTGTCGTCTTGAAATTTTTACGGAATTTTTTTTACTTTATTCTTTATGTCCCTATGGAAGCTTTTTTTTCTTTTTTTTTTAATTTTTCCTATTTTTTTACACGAAAAACTGTTGAAAAACTGGGCTAAATTTCGTACTTTTTCTTCAAACCGTAGCCATTTTGTCAAATTTCAAAAAAAAAAAAAAATAACCTCCATAGCGGCTTCCCTACAGATTAATAATGAATTTGATTTTTTTCTTTGAGATGCAAACTGCGACCACTATCGTTGACACCGATTGCCCCCATTTTTTTACTCACTTTTTAAAATAATTATTAACAATAAGTAAAAATAAATAAGAACGAATGAAAATAATATTTTTGTATTGTTAAAAAGTGGTCTTATTCGAAAAAAAAACATCCCGATCCTCTCCTACTATCCATCCGAAAAAAAATCACGAAAATTGACAATTTTTTGGCCTCTTACACTGAGATGGTCCCTTAACAATAATTTTATAAAGTTGTGCTCTTAAAAAATGGCGTCTATACGGTCGAATTATGTTTTTCATTGCGCGTACAAAAATGAAATATAGACCAAAAAGGATTTTTTCGATCGTAAAATAATACGACGACAACGTACATTACACAATTATATTGGAGACAACTTTTGACGAATTAATACGAATTTTTCTTCCCTCTAATAATATAACAGGGTTTTGTTAACTTTCATTTTTCTAAAGTTCTTCACGATTCTCTTATCAGAAGAGGCGTGCGTTTTGTCGTATTTTAAAAAGGACTATTAGAGGAACGACACGATTTGTTTCTTTTCGTTTCTTTCTTCCCCTCTTTAATTTGTTTCTTTCTACTAGCGAAATCACGAGATGACGATTTTCTATTATACTTTTTAGTCGTATCAAAAATATCTAAATTAATAATGGGATAAATACACGATGCGGATAAAATCGGAATTATTTTGTGCGATTTTTCAAAATTGTGCTACGGTTAAAAAACTCGTTATCTCTCATTTGTCGTAGATTTAAATCAACAACAACAACAACAACAACGTTATTAAGCAAGAAATGAAAAAAAAGAAAGATATATTCCCTGTACATAAGTATCGCGCCTTCTTCCCTTATTATTTCTTGACGATGGTTGGTTGGTTGGGGTAGAGGTGGGGGGAGAGAGAGTCCTCTCATCTTCGTATTTTTATCACATTTAAAAACACACTTTCTCTTAATATCGGCGACGTAAAAAGTCTTCTTGTTAGAACTATCTAAACGACATCGACGATTACGAGAATTGTTCTTTGTTTTATTTATTTATTTATTAGAAAGTTTAAGAGAACGTGTCACGCGAGTTAATCTAATTTTCTGTATAAAGTTGTCTCTCATTTTTTCTTTTAAAGATAGTTTAGGTATAAAAAGACGGTTATAGACGAGTACGAGATTATTTAGAAAGACGTCCAAAAAACGGATATACGAAAGATTCAAGTGTATACGTATATATGTGTGTTTGTATGTGTGTAATAACTATTTTTTTATAAGCAATGGGCTCGCGATTATCCTAGGACTAAAACATAAGTTCCGTACTTCGTTGAAATACTTCGTTCCTCTTGTTATTAAATATATTTTATGTTCAATCGATCCTTTAAAAGGTCCTCCCTAATTGGTTTTAACACGCTGAAAGAGAATCGTGAAGACTTTTGACGCACGTCAAAATCTTTCGATCGTAGTTGTAGCGTCATTTTATTTTCTCCTGGACATCGTCGTAAATCGGGGGTAGGAAAAAGAGAAACAAAATGAACAGAATTGAATCATCGAGCGTGTGCTAATGGAAAAAAACCTTGTAAGGATAATTACGAAAGGCACTAGACAGGATTGAATCGCTTCGACATTCACCAAAGGATATTGTCCAGAATTTTTGAAAGCGAGTTCTGAGTGGTCCAACGATCGCAAAGATTTAGAATAAACATTATTTGTTTTGTTCCATCCACACCTCTCTCTATCTTCTCGTTCGCATATCTTAATTATCTATAAGATACAATAATACATACAACGTGATAATAATACATAAACCAAATTGTTAATCGCAATTTTATGACCAAAATTTCATACTTTGTTTTAAATATGCAATGAGATTCGTTGTTGTTAATAAGGTACGAAAAAAAGAAACATTCGAGATATTAGGAAATGACACAACGATCTCGAAGTTAACAACGCCGATTAAATTCGTTGGCGATCTCGCAAGCAACGTTGTAGTCGCGTCCAAGTATTCGATTAATCGAATCCACATATATATATATATATATATATATATTGTAAGATTCTATTGTGTGTGTAGGAAAGATATCTACGAATGCCTATTAAAGTATTTGGCATGAAGGCGTTCGATCCTACAATATATATATATATATACTTCGGGCCAATGAAAATAAATATATTTTTATTTCACAAATACCGTGATTATATACGTCGATCTTACTTCGATCCTAACGTTAATTGGTGGATGCGTTTAAACGAATTATCGAATGCGACATTGGCATCGTTTCTTTCTTTTTTCTTTTATTTATTTTCTCCCTCATTTTTTTGTTGCAATAGGTAATCATTAATAATGGTACCGTAATTAAGTAATACGTATTTTTTTTTTACTCGGGTGATGAGACGCGAGAAAACGATTTTTAAAGTGATTTGATTATTAAATCCGAGATCGGAATATTTTATATCTAAATCGAAGGAAAGAAAAATATGTGTCTTGCGCGTTTGCTTGGTTTTACCAAGAATAATAATAATAATAGTAATAATAATAATAGTAATAATAATAATAATAATAATGGCTCTATAGAACATCAAATCGCGATTATTCGATACTTTTTATATTTCTTCTTTAGTTAAACTTTGTGCGTCAGAGGAAATGGGAGCGGATCTTTTTCTTTTTCTGTTCTTGTCGAATGATTTACATTGAAAAATCTGCGATATATAATTTTTTAAATCTTTCATTACTTTTCTTCTTTGTTTACTCCTCTTCCTCTTTTTTGTTCTTCCTTCTCTTCTTCTTCGTTTCGTTTTTTGTCGAATTAGATTATTTAGAAGTCTATATACAGCTAGTGTCATTTAAAATTGTGTACACATTACGCTTATTAGATTAATAATTTTCCTAATAATTTTCAAAGAAAAATTTATTAAAATGGTGGAGCGTACGATTATTTTAAACGATACTTACTGCATATGTTACAAGAGAAGGTTTTTCGTATGCTCGAACGCGTACGAGAGTGTAAGTGTGTGCGTGTATGTTTACGTGTATTTTCTAGGTCGAAATTTTCCATTTTTTTTCGAATACGAAATACGAACGTTCCATTCATTGTTTTTTTTTTTTTGTTTAAAATCTCTCGCGCGCTCCCTACAATCATCGAATTATTTCACTGGCTGCTGTATTTTTCTATTTTTTCTTTTTATCGGCCATTCATCGTATCGCGCATTCTCTTTAATAATACGCGCGCAACATATATATATTTACAGGTAGTAATAATAATAATAATAATAATAATAATCATCATCATAATAATAATAATAATAATAATATCTATTTCGCGTTACAATATCGTAGTGTACATACTCGACATGTAACTCGTCATAATTTCGCAATTATAGTCGTACTTTGTCTATGTTGATAAAAGTCTTCTCTGGTCCGAAAGAAGTTATTAGATACTTAGGCACTTGTTATATCATCTAGAATAATCAATCCATCGTGCAAGTAGCGACAATGACTTATTTTTTTTTTAAACGTACTAATTAGCGATTTTCTCTTAAAGAGTGACTTTTCATTTTAAAACTTCTATCGATGAGGACGAACAATATTATAACGAATAATTAACGATAGTTAAATGGTATTAATTAATGATAGATAATAATATAATATAAGAGTGACGATAAATGGTGATCGTGATGACGATAAAAATTATATAGTAATAATAATAGTAACAACGATAATGATAATAATAATAATAATAATAATAATAATAATAGTAATAATAATATGCGTATAATATAGCTCTATTTTATACCGTATTAATGAAAGAGAAAAAAGGGGAGAAGAGGAATAAGATCTGTCTTCCTCTTCTTCCTCCAGTTCTCGGACGGAAGTCCGTTTGAGGTTCGCGGATCTCGGCTGACTGATTATTTCAAGTCTTCGAATACCGAGAAACAAAAAGGAGAAACGAAAACAACGTTCGTTATGTTTAAACATATACTTTGGTAACGTTGTACGTCTCTAAGCTATGTCAATTCCACGGAAAATAATTCTTATTGGATTATCTCATTCGATCATCATGCTATCTTGTTTTCTCGTTTGCTTAACGATAAGAAAATAAAAGAAAAGTGTATTGGTAACTATCTAACTCGCCATCCGTGATTTCTGTGTTATCTTCGAAAATCGAATTGGAAATCCGAAGGAAATGTGGACTCTCGTCGATCGATCGATAAAAATATTCGGATAGTAGAAAAAGGACTTTTTTGTTTGTGCTAGCGTGGTACACAACGAGCCGCGTCTCGTTACGAGGGTGAGATGATCGGTGTGGTGAGCGGTATCTCTATTTTTTGTGTGTGTGTCTATCCGTCTCCCCCGATCGACAGAAAAATCGAACGACTCACGACTTTGACTGGTCCGAATGGAGCGTTCGAATTCGAGGCTACGTAGACGGAATTTTCTTAACGAAACAATCGTCTTCCTGCTGCTAAGAGGGTGGCTGATGCTGCTGCTGTTGTTGTTGTTGTTGTTGTTGGTCTTGAAGTTGGTAGCTCGGCTGATGATGGAACGTTCGTTGCGTACCACTCGGTGGTTGCTCTTGCAAAGGTTGGTAACCTATTCCGATTGGTTGCGGATACGCGGGATTCCACTGTTGGTCCATGCCGGCCTGTAATTGTTGCTGTTCTTGTTGTTGTTGATACTGCTGCTGCTGTAACTGCAGCTGCAGCTGCAACTGCTGTTGCTGTTGCTGCTGCTGTTGTTGTTGTTGTTGTTGATATCTGAAAGATTGACTACGTCTTTCCTCCAAGAGCAATTGATGAGCTGCTCGATCCATTTCTTCCCGCGTCATGTCCAAAGCCTCTTGCATCTCGCGAGACGTGTATCTCACGAATTCTTGGTCGCAATACTTGCCCAGTCCTTGTTCAACGAGTACCTGTGTACGAAAGAACGCGAATAATCATTGGTCGTTACTGTTCTTCATGTAAAAAAGCAAAGAAACATATGGATAATAATAACTCACCCGTCCTACCAAACTCTCGGCACTTCCAATAACTTCAAAGTTCGGCTTTCGGTCGGCAGGACTGCCAGGTAAACTATGGGTAAGCCGTTCGGCTCCGACGCTTCCGTTGCTCTCTCCAGCCCAGGATGGAACTAATGACGGGTTATGGAGCAAAACAATGAAAAAGTTAACACGTATCGATTTCGGGGATTATTATCTCGAACTCTTCGATGCTGCACGTCGCGCGAGTCACGCGCCAACGACAAATCACCACATGAACGGACAAATGTGTTATTTCAAGCGTCAAAAAAGAGAGAAAAAGGATAGATGTAGAAAGAAAGAAAGAAAGAAAGAAAGTGTTAGTACAAAATACACAAAAGGAAAATAGAAAATAGAGAGAGAATAATAAATGCGCGCGTGGTTCGAGCGGCTGCGACGAATCGAAGGTAGGTTCGAAAGGTATAAGAGGATACAATGTAAGGTTGGCGTCACCTCTGCCGTGGAAGGAGGCTCGGTGGGAGAAACAGGACTCGCATACGCGCCATTGACGCGAGTCGACGTTGGCGAGGAAACCAGCTACGGCGATCGCTTGGGTCTGCGCCATTTTGAGGCCGTTGGCGAGGCTTCCGATGGTGGTTGTTGTTCCTCCGGCGTCGCTCGGTGGATCGGTCAGAGGATCGCTCGGAGGATCGCTGCCGGTTCCGTCGGCCGCTTCGGAAACGGCCTCGCGACATCTGCGAAAACTGGAGGGTGCTGATTTTCCTCCAGCGTCGCTTTGGCGTCGCGACCTCGTCCCAAATAGGAGGCTTGGTGGTCTCAAGGATGCTGCCATAGCTCGCGCTCGACTTTCTAATTTTCGTATTTGCATCGTTGCCTTAGGCCGGCGCAACATTGGGATCGCCGCCGCCCCCCTCTCGCTTTCTTTCTTATTACTCGGTGCCGACGATGGTAATTTAGCAGTTGGATGTGCACCACCCTCGGAGTTGTTCCACGTATCATCGGTGACGGTACTGCCGCTCGCTATCGACGATTCTTCTTCCTCGTCCTCATCCTCTTCCTCATCCTCGTCCAACTCCTCCTCCAAATCTTCTTCGTCCTCCTCCTCGTCGTCGTCATCTACGGCCACGCTCGTGTCCGGTACGAGATCGAATTCGTTGTCTTCTCGCATTTCTAATTCGTATTTCTATCGTTTAATTTAACTATCTAAATCGATGAGCGACAAGATCTCGTACCGTGATTGCTCCAGACGGCACAATCGACGCAGCAGCCCCCCGTCGCGTAGGTATAGTAACGGTTGGTGCCATTCGAAGAGGAAGCTGGACTGGTCGCGGTAGTTGAGGAATTAGCGCTCGTTCCTCCCGTGACAGCTGTGACAACTGTATCTGCAGTGACAACTGTTTCGGTGACAGTGGCGATAATAGGGTGGGTGGTCGTGCCGGTGCTAGTAGTAGTGCTGGTGGTGACGGTAGTTGTGCTGGTAACGGTGCCGCTAGTACTCTGTCCTGATATCCTTCGTGGCGGAGGGGTAGGTGGTGTCAACTGCCGCTCGACTCCGTCCTGAAGACTGCCATCGATAGCAGTCCAAGGATACACGCACGCAAGCCATATGCACCACGCACGCAGGCCGGTGAAAGAGAAAACGGGCGAAAAACCATTCTTTTAGTTACATTTACCAGTCCCTAGTGTCACGAGCCAAGGATAATTAAGTGTACCACGTACTCGACCCCGTCTAACATCTCACATTATTTGGGAGACGCGACGATCCGGTCAGGCACGCTTCGTAATATAGAATATATTATATATATATATAATATAATAATATAATATATATATAAATATATATCGGATCGAGAAAGATAACAGCGCAAACCACATGCGATTATTATTATTATTATTTTGCATAGCCAATTACTGCGGTTGAGATGCAACGCCGCTAATCCTCGATACTTTCGATCGAGCTTAACCGTATCTTCAACGTCAGAACTTGGCCTAGTTGATTTTCTTCACCGATTGTCTCCTGAATGCTACGGTATTTTTAAATAACAAATCATTTGATCAGGAGACAATTCGTGGGTTGATACTAAAGTTAATAGATAATATATAATATATATATGTATAAATGATAAAACGGAAAGCATGCAGGCGCGGCAAGCGAGCAATGCAATTTAATCAAATAAAAGCCATTACTACTAGTCGCAGACCCCTAACTTGTCTTACCATATTCGCTATTGGGATGAAGATAGTTACCGCTACCCGGTCCACTGAAACGTACGACAGTAAACAGAAAAGCGTAGGACGATGATAATACCAATGATACGTATCGTCGACACGCGCGGAGCTATGAAACTTGCTAGATGCGGCGATAAACGATAACGCGTGCACGCAAATAGAAAAGATTCATTGATTATGCGTACGAAGCTACTTATAGGCGCAATGACAACAACAAAAATAACAAAAACAAAATCTTATTTCGGATCTTGCTAACGCGGTGTTCAACGAAATCCTAATCTCGCGACTATGCACATATTATCTCTGTACAATCATATATTGATCTAATTGAAAAATTAATCTTATTTTGTATGAACGAAGCTATTAGCTTATTGTTTTGTTTTTTATTAACAAACTTGGACTCCGAAATCAATCGAATCGTATAAGTAGTAAGTCGTATGAACATCTTTCATGCACTATTATTACATGACGCGATATCGAGAGAGATAGCGAGAGAGAAAGAGAAAGAGAGAGAGAGAGAGAAAGATAGAGATAGAAAGAGATAGATAGATAGAAAGATAGAGAGATGTATCGTTTTGAAAAATAATAAATGCGTAAACCACTGATGAGACGTTGACCGACACGATGCCTAACAAAGAAACAGGACACGCGATTTGGCCGCTCCGGCCAAAATAATATTTTCGCTGGTTCTTTACTTACCCGACCATTTTATAAGTACTATGATAGGTTGAACGTTGCGTGGTGTTGCCAAATACGGCAAGAGGTCTTAAGGGAATATTTTCTTCGACACCCGTTAACCTCGGATCCATTTCCATTTGATTCATAGCGCTATCGCTTAGACCACTATAAATAAAACAAACAAATATCATGTGTGCAGATCATATATTATTAAAAGATATTCTCAAATTAAAATGACATTGACATCGTGCATTGAATGAACTTTTCCTAAACTCGTGCATTGATTAAATTTTTATTACACTCGTGCATTGATTGAATTTTTCGTAGACTCGCATTATAAATTGAAATAAGTTGCGTTCGTTCGCGTTACCATGGATTTCCGTTCGCATTTTTCAAATCACCTCCATTCTAAAGAAATTTTCACTTCAAAAACCGAAAGGATTTCTAAACTATACTAAAACTAATCGAAATTTCGTTTGTTATAGGTAACGGATGACTACTCACCCAGCTACGTTTGGCACGACTTGATGAGATCTCGCAGTGATTTGATTCGGAGCGTCTGGTCCTATGCCCCTTTGCAATGATGGATACGCCAAAAAGTCTATGGAATTTGATGGGGAAGCCTACGAAGGAAAGAAATTGCTATCTTGACAGTGACAAAATCTTGATAAAACGAAACAAAAGCAGTAACTATGAGTAAGTGCATTATTATTGGGATATTGTTGGTAGGAATCGAACAGGATCTGGTAAGTATTTTTATTTCTTTTTTTATTATTACCTTAGAGTTCATTTTGAGCGACCTCGCTCTATGGAAGCTGTGGTGTCCTTTACGCATGCTCGACCAAACGCTACCAAATAGCGAATGATTTCTCTGAAAAAAATTATTACGAATAAATTCAATTTATTTTATTTTTTGACTTCAGGACAAAGTATTCACACGTACCCTATGAGTAGGTTCTGGATTATCGTCCATAAGTTCTTCCAAATTACCAGAGATCGCTCTTTTTAATTCAGGACCTGCTTCGTGTAAAGTTCTCAAGCCCGCCTTAGACATTATGAGGAAAAAGAACAAAAATTAAACAATGAAATAATATAATCTAATAATAAATTAGAATTTGTCGCTTACCTGGAGCGTTACTGTATTGTGACATTCCTTGTCCCCTTCTCTCATTTCTTGTTCTTTCCGTTTCTTGAATCTACGAAAGTAGTCCTGGATGAGGAAAGTTGCGTAAAACTTGCCGACCGTAACTTCGTCGTCGACTGAAAAGTTTAGAACGTTTCGGGTTATATCATTGTTTCGGGATTATATCATCAAGGCTTTTAAAGGGTTAGTTAAAATGTACCTCCAGGCGGTGGAACAACTTGATCCAAAAGTTTAGGACTTGTTCTCTTCCAAATCTTTTTGATGACAGCTCTAAGTTCGGCATTCGCGTCGTCTATATTTCCTTCGGTTTTAATTCTTAATGATGTTCTCACCACTGCGAATAGGGTCGCGTTGAAGAGAACAGTACCGTCGCTGTTCAATGGCATGTTCATCGAGACCAGCCTCTAGAAAACGTATCAAATGTATCGTCCAACTTGTAATAAAATCGATAAAAAGCCTTTATCGTATCTAATTACTTTTAGATAGACTTTAACTATTGACAGACCTTGCAAGCGACTCTGTGAGGACAAAGTTTACCGAAACCCAAGGGTGGTGATATTTTTCTTAGCAACGTTACCACGTCGAGATGTTTGATACGACCTTTAGCATCGGGATCGTATTCTGACCATAAACGAATAAACTCGTCGAGGTGATGTGGTCCCAATATCGACCAGTCTCTCGTCAAATAATCAAAGTTATCCATAATGACAGCAACGAATAAATTGATGATCTGTACAAAAAAGAAAGATGTTGATAATGAACACGATTCGGGATTTTATGAAACTTACCAGAAAGGAACAGAGAACGTAGAATGATATGAAGTAAGGAAATGCTATGTCCGATCCGCAACCGGACGGATTGTTGTATTCGTCGCTGTTCGGATCGCACATTACTTTGCCCGGTTGTGCGGAACAATCCATCATGATATCTTGCCAAGATTCACCTGCAGAGAAATAATACTATTACTACGGAATACTCTGTTGCATAATAATTTCGGAAATGTTCTTACCTGTAGCAGACCTGAACAAAACTAGAACTGCTTGCGGAAACGATTGAAAATTGTTGTTACGATATATTGAAGTCTCGGCGTTTATAGCAATCTTTCCAAATACCTGAGAAATGATGATAACATTTAGAAAGGACGAAAAGGTAAATGAAAGTTTTTTTATAGTTGAGAAATGAAGAAAAATCCTTGTATCCTATACCTGCATGCCTATTACGGCGTAGATGAAAAAAAGCATTATGATGAGAAGGGCTACGTAAGGTAGAGCTTGGAAGGATTTAATAAAGGTCCAGAGTAACGTTCTTATGCCCTCTCCTCTGCTCAGTAACTTTACGAGACGCATCACTCGAAATAGTCGAAAGAAGTTGATAGAAATGATAGTTGAGCCAGGCTGAAAGGTGTAGAGAAAACGAATTATTTGATTCCCGAATATCATACACGTTGAAAATAAAATAAATAAATGAAGAAAGAACATCACTTACGTTAACTTCCGAGTATACGATGTCGATGAAACTTCCGAGAACGATAATAAAATCAAAAACGTTCCAGGCATCGCCAAAGTAATTCTGAAAAGATTTTTTATTAATTCGGTAAACAAACAGTTGCTTATCCTTATCTCTCTCTTTCTCTCACTGTTTCTCTCTACCTTGAATCGAAAAGCTGCAAGTTTGAAGACAAACTCTAGGGCGAACACTGCGGTGAAAATCATATTGAGTACATCGAGTACTTCGGTGTATAACGTTGGCTGCTGATAGAACTTCATCGCAAGTGTCACGGTGTTTATCATGATCAGGGTGAATATCGTGTATTCGAAGGGTTGAGAAGTGACGAACCACCAAACTTTGTATTGTATTCGATGCTTCGGTATGTATCGCCGAACGGGTTTCGCTTTCAGAGCAAACTCGATGCAGTTCCGCTAGACGATCAATAAACTTGTTAAAGTCACCGATGATGACATTTTTCCAAAGATGTTTTCGCGTTCTCGGTGATCGTTATTTAAACGACGCGAATAAAGATATTGAAAATAGTTACCTGATTCTTATCGAGCTCGCAATTTTTGTACTCCTGTTCACCCTCGTTTTGAAAGGTGACAATGACGAAACCCACGAAGATATTCACCATGAAAAATGCAATGATGATGATGTAGATAATGTAGTAGGCTGCCACGATCGGACGAAAGTTATGAATCGGTCCGTGATCTTCCTTGTTCGAATCGATCGACCAATTCAACAACCTAGCGTAGATAATAAGAAGAAGAAATAAGAAGAGAAAGAGGGAGAGTAGAGGGGCGGGGAGAGAGAGGCCTTCCTTCCGGCGTTTTAATATCTTATTGAAGCATCCGTTACGTAAAAGCTTCTTCTGCTTCTTCTGATTCTTCTTCTTCTTGTTCTTCGAGACATTCGTGCCAAAGTCAAAAGAGACTTACCCTGGCCAGCCTTCAAATGTTGAAACCGTAAAGAGGGTCAGCATCGCCTTGGCAACATCATCAAAGTGGAAACGACGATGTTCCCACTCTCTTTCTTTCACGACAGGTCTATTGATATTGCCATTTTCGTATTCCAGATAAGTACCCCTGAAAGTAATCATGTCTCGAACGATATTACCCTTTCGACATTGAATTTCCTTACAAAATATTATTATTTTTTTGATTATTTTAATGGTCATCTTAAAAAAGACACGACAAGAAACGCGAGTTTTTTTCTATACGTCTTTGTTATTGCTACCATAATTGAATTTAACTGATTTAACTTTAGAGTACAAGCTTTCCCTTACCCTCTCGCGTTCTTCGTGTCTCTTAGATTCTATTGAAAAAAAGTGAAAAAAGAGCAAAGAAAAGAAATTGATTGTCGATAACTTACTGGCATTCATCCTTCGTCATTTTTGAAGCATCGTTACAATAGAAAAATTTGCCCTAAATAACATAAAAATATCGTTAGGGTGTACAAGAAAAAAGTATTATCAACGTAAAATTAATAATTTCATAATATAATTCTTTTTAAAAGCCACGAAGCGTATCAATAATCTTGAAAGCAGGTCAAGAAACTTAGTTTCCACGGACTAAAGTGGTTCGATGCTAAAGTTGCGAGCAACGATGCGTCATCTTTCGAGAGAGAGAGAGAGAGAGAGAGAGAGAGAGAGAGAGAGAGAAAGAGATGACAATTTTTTTAAATATTAATTCTGTATATATATATATATATCAAAAATCTTTTTCTTATTACATAGAAATCGTCTAACTAGTATAAATCAAAGAAAAGATTTTGAACGATCTTTGGCCGATGTTATTAATGAAAAAAGTAAATAGGAGAAGTCTCTTTATCTTTCTCTCATTAACAACACAGTGCACTTGCGACATCCTCAGCTTGACCGACTTTTCAGATTATCGAAAATTTTTCGCATAGTTGAGCACACTATATTAATTGGCCATTCTTGCAAGAGCAAATAATAAAACGTTAGCGAGTGTGATCGAGTAAAGTAAAAGTGTTAGATCAGTGTGAAACTCGGGCGTGATTGGTAGATAGATAGATAGATAGGACAGATTGATAGCAAGATAGATAGATAGATAGATAGATAGATAGATAGATAGATAGATAGATAGATAGATAGATAGATAGATAGATAGATAGAGAGAAATAGAGAAAAAAAGAAAGATAGACAGAGATAGGGGTTGGGAAGTTAGAAAAAGATAGAGAATGAGTACATTCCTTTGGACGTGCAAAATATACGTGTGTGGTATGTAGTTATATGTACAAATGACGAATACGATGATGCTCGGATCACGATCCTCTCTTGTTAATTGATCTTACGAAGAAATATCCAAGTATAATTATTATAAATCGTTGCATCATTAACCTGTAAACTCACACAATGTAGAAACGAAGATACTTCTCGAATAGATTTGAAAGATTGTAAAATTTAGAGTTGGAGGTGGGCGGGGGTCGTTGGGAACTTGCTGCTTTGTGTTTGATCATAAAGTTCGCAATGTTGACAAAACGAATATGTCGATCGTTATCGGTAAAATAATATATACTTTATAAAGGGGTTAGAGTTAAGGGATCACGCGAGGATAATATGATGCCTTTATCTTGTAGGAAAATTTTCGGTAAAATACGATGCACCTATCATCATCATCATCATTATCATCATCATCCGCTTATTTCCAACTAGATTATATCAATTTAGGTAACGTGTGATATCTTACGAAAGAAAATAATTGACGCTCGCAAGTTGATTATATACTGCGCGTTTCGGTAAAATAGAATTAGATCTATGCCACGGTAAATTAGAATGGAAAGATAATTAATAAGTAAATGTATGTTCGCGATTAATAATACTAATCCATTTCGTCGTACATAATAGGTGAAATTCGCGCTCCGATTGGTACGCGTAATTTTAGTGCTTTAAGGGGTTTATTTTTTTTGTTCTTTTTGAAAAAAAAGTCAAGTACGCGCCGACATTGGATTTCGTTGCGGGTTGAACGGGCGTAGAAAAAAAAAAGAGAAAATAAAAAAAAGAAAAAAGCATTGAGAATGCGCCAACCGCGTTTTGCACCAAGCTGAGCTTACTAATTGCTAGCCAAGCGCGGAGGAAAGCTCTTTACAATTGGTACAAAGGTACAGATCGAAAGAACGCAAAGTAACAGCAGCAGCAGCAGTAACAGCAGCAGCAGCAGCTTTTCGTTGGCGATTCTTTCTGTCTTGTTTGTAATCCGTAATTGCTTGTGCAAGTGAAAAAAAAAATTAAAAAAAAAAAAAATAGAAACGAAAAGCAGATGCGTGTTAACGGGTCGTCGCATGTGTTCACCAAAACACACACCAGCATCATCGTGTGTCCTTTATTATTATTATCCTTCATTTGAATACGTAATCATTCATTTAGAATATTCTTATTTTTCTGTTCTATTGCTGGTTAATCATATGAAATGATCTTTGGTTCCTCGATAAATGGAAACAAACAATTGGATTCACTCACTCAGGACGGAAGTAAATAAAACGCCATGACCGACTTTTTTCGTTGACCTCTCTCTTTCCGACCGATTTCATTTTCTTAAAACGTTCTATCGTAAGCAACAATAATCATTTTTCGTTCGTCGTTCCCCTTTTGTTTTTGTTATACTTTTTATATTACCTACATTTTCTATTCCGGTTAAACGCTAAAAGAATATTATTTTAACGCGGAAAGAAGAAAGGACTTTTCTTCTTTTTTTTATCACCTGTACTTGATAAAGAAAATATTAAATTATTATTCAATTTTTAATCTAACTACGGTATGGTTTCTATAGAAACTTATTAATAATTCCTATCATATACATGTTGTATATATTACCCGAAAATATTTCTTCATAATTTTTTTAGTTTTTAAATCATATGCTTCGTTTCTAACACGTCTACTTATTTCTATTAATTAACTAACCATTAAAATTATTACTTACATGCTAATTTATATAATAATTATATCCAAAGACAGTATAATGTTAAATTATTCTATTCAGTGATCACGGTTAAACGAATATCATCATTGGGGAGTATATATTAATTAACAATAATTGCAATGACAAGCACAAAGAAATAAAAAAGAAAAGGTGGGATAGATATTATTCGTTTTTCCGTGAAGTCATTGGCAAATGTTAAAATACCGTGCAACTGGACGTCCAGCATGCACTACAATTAAAATGACATTACCATCACATTCATAACTAAACAATTTTGGCATGCTACATCAAAAAGTGTACAATATCGGATATCGAATATGACAACTATGAATGCAATCATCGAATCAGTGTGTGGCTAATAATATTTACTCATGTATACACGTAAATTCATATTTATTTGTAGTTAAATAATAAATTAAATATATGATTTCGTAGAGTAAGAAAAACAAAACCCTCTTTAAACTTTTACAGAAGACAAACTGTTAAAATATAGTTATCGCGTATTTCAGTGCTCCGATAATAATAATAATAATAATAATAATAATAATAATAATAATAATAATAATAATAATAATAATAATAATGTAACCATATGCACAAGGAGAAGTATCGACAGCAACGAGGGACGATGTTTAGGATAATTATCATCAATCATTAAGTTATGGATGTAACACTTGCATGTAAAATAAAAAATCTAAATTTAATTCGTGTATATATATATATATTCTCGTTGCCAACGTCTTCTTCTTCTTCTTCTTCTTCTTTATTGTTTAGTATTAGTCGGATGAAAAATGAAAAAATAAAATGTACTACTACTATGCATGCATGCATAGATAACAGATTCATCGAAACACGTGGTGCCTAAGTGCTCGAAAGGTTCGAATCGCAGAAAACAAATAAATCGATAGATGGATTTATGCATCGTTTTTTTTTTCTTAACTTCTAAATTTATATATCTATGATTGCCAATGGTTATTTAACTAAATTCAACGATATCCGGCATGCGTCGATTTCCTTTTGAGGCCACCGCGTATTTCGCGAAAGAAACTCGAATTTCCGATAAACGGGAAACGGCTTTTAAAGCGAGTTTTAGATCAGAGAGAGAGAGGAAGAAAAAGAGATAGATAGAAAGAAATAAAGAGAGAGAGAGAGAGAGAGAGAGAGAGATAGATAGATAGAGGAAGAAAAAGAGAGAGAGAGTCTTGTGCCTATCGCCGACGAAAATAGACAAATAAATAATAGATAAGGAAAGAGAAAGAGAGAGACAGATAGATAGAGAGAGATAGAGAGAGAGAGAGAGAGAGAGAATAGTAAGAAAGGAAAAGGAAGAATAAAATGAAAATATAAATAGATCGTTTCTGCTTTATAATCATAGCCTCTAATGTGATGGTGTTTTTTTGGCGTTACCTTAAACAGCTGTACCCCGATAACAGCGAACATGAACTGTAGGAGATAGGTGACCAACATAATGTTGCCAATCGTTTTAATGGCGACAATCACACACTTCACTACGTACTTTTTACGTAGTTCGGGGCAGGTGAGCAGGGCGTACGAGCACAGCGGGAAGACACGGGGTGATCAGAGTAAGAGAGACAGAGAAAACAAAAAAAAACAATAGCATTAATTAGGGGGGCCAGCTATTTTCTCACTCTTTTTTAAGGGTAGGTAGGGTTGGCTTGGGGGATGGACGGTAGCTGCGTGTCTTATTTTTATTTTTCTCTTCCACTACTACTACTACTATTATTATTATTCATATTAATATTAATATTAATGGGGGGAAAGTGGGGTAATGTTAGAGAAAAACATAACCCATTGATAGATAAGGGGGTAGCAAAGGAACAACGTTATCTTCTTCCTTTCTTTTTTCATATCTTTTTGAGTTTCGAGTTGTATTTTGATCGTTAACAACACAGGTGCTATTAATTGCGGTTCTATATCCTATAAAACTCGATTGATCTCTCGTTTGTCTCTCGTGGCCTATTTTAACGCTAGTAGGAATGGATAAATGAAAGGGATTTTGTTACCGATAATAAGCTTCTCTTCTTTTTTTCTTTTTTTTTTCGATAGGATTAACGACATGTTTTAGGTAGAAACAGTGATGCGTAAATTAAAGTAAAGTAAAAGTAAAAGTACGTCGGATGTTGGACCAGCAGCAAAAAAAAAAAGAAGGGCGGGAGGTAAGCGAGGCTTAGCTCTTCGGCAAATCGTATCCACCCCCATTTCTCGTTTTAAAAAAGGGTGCATTTTTAAAAGAGCTAAAAGAGGAGAGAAATAATAAAAACGACTAAGACTGTGCTATCAAATCGGTCCTTTAAGCTCAGCAAATTGTGCTCGCTTTCCACGTCTCGACTCTTCATTTTAAAATGGATAAATCATCCAAGTTACTACGAACCATGATTCTCCTCTTAACTTCTCTTTTTTTTTCTTTCCCTTCCCCTACTTTTTCTCTTTTACTTCCCCCAATTCCCCCATTCCCATTCGTACTTCTCACCATCATTATCACTTAACTTTCATCGCAGTTGTGACTTTTGCAACCGTAACGCACACGTTTATGTATTAGTTATGTGCGAATGAAGTATTTTTTTTTTGTTCACCTTTCTAATCGTGAACTAAGCCCTCGCCATCCATCCAACCCACTATTTTATCTATTTATTCTTAACACTTTGCCGTCCGCACGTTTCATCAAAATTTTGTTTCGTTTGACGCAAATAAAACTGACTTATATCATTTCGTTTATCGTTGGTGGTTTCTACTAATCTTCTTGTTAATTCCCTCTATTTTTTGGTTATATTATATACTAATCTAATTTATTTATATTTTGTTGAATACTTTTAGTAAATGAAACCACCCCTCCCACCACCACTTGTCCGATAATTTCCGCATGGCGCACAACGTTGTATCACTGGACGGCATAGTGTTAATTAACACGATATTTTGTGTATTACTTCATCGATGCATCTATGGGGATGATTATTATTACATGTGCCCATAATTATGAAAGTGGTCTAAGTCATATATCTCTTGTTTCGAGATATTTAAAGATTTATACTTGAACACTATACGAATTCTATACAACATTGAAATAACAAACATTATCTAACGATTCATTTTTCATAATATCGTGAAAATTACATTGAATTTATTTAATTTATAATAATGTAGTGCGTAATAACTGATAAACTCATTTTTTATTAATTTTGAGTTAGATCACTTTCATAATTATGGGCACAAATAGAAAACGTTTTCATAGTCGTCGTCGTCGTACTATTTTCCTATTTGAAATCACCACGATTCTACTACTACTATTATTAATTTGAGTTGTTTTTCGTTTTCATGTCGTGTTCGCGAATTTAATCGTGAGAAAAGAGACAGACAGACAGATAAAGAGAGAGATAGATAGATAGAAAAAAAGAAAGAGAAAGTAAGAAAGAAATAGAGAGAGAGAGAGAGAGAGAGAGATAAAGAGAATGTAATAAAAGCAAAATAAAAGAAACGTAGGCGGGCAGAGGGGGGCAGGGGAAAGATCGATAATCGTCACGGATCGTTTAACGATTCTTCAAGAAAAAAAAAAAAAGAAATATAAGAAGAGTTTGTTCCTTTTCTGAATGTTAAATAAAGAGCGTCATTGGCTCGTTCGTCTCGCTTCCCTATTTCATTCGAAAATTCCGGAAACACTTGCATCCTCTCTTCGCATTCCGTCGAACACTAGGCACTCGCAATTAGAACTAAAAATCTAATTAAAATACGAATGTTTCATAAAAACGTTGCATTTCTTTTTGTCATTGTGTGTTTCTGTGTTCCTGTGTGTGTTTGTATGTGTAAGTATAGAAGACTATTATGCTCGTTTTGGCCGCATATATTTGTTGTTAGATGTGTGACAAAGAAAGAGAGAGAAATAAACAGAGAGATAGAGAGAGATAGAGAGAGATAGAGAGACATAGAGAAAGAGAAAAAAGATAAGAAAGAGAGAGAGAAAGAAAGAGAAAGAGAAAGAGAGGAGCGTATAGTAGTGGTAAGCGTTCGACACACATGAAACTACCAGAGCGATATAATAATATTTATTATGTGTAATGTTTATGAATAAATGCTTCGCTTTCGCGTTTAAAGATCAATTAGAAGAAACTAATAAACACACTGTTGTCTATGAACATCGACTATAAACTATGCTACGATCTTTGAAATCTCTTTGACTACTTATCGTATTTTCCCTACGATGGGTTCGGGATCGATATCTATTATCGGCTATGAAAATAACGCGGAGCTAGAGAAACAAAATACTTTCCTGCAAATATCTAACAAATGATTTTTTCATGACAACAGAACAACCAAAAATCAATAACCAAAAAACTTGCAATGAATGCAAGAAACACATTTCCATGGTGGTGTTTTTTTTCCTTCTTTTTTTTTTTTTGTTAGAATCTTCAGTCTTTTTCCTTTCGAAAAAAGTTGTCAGAAGCCTTGACGCAACCCCTAACGCAACCCCTGACGCATTCGTATCATTTTTTTTTCCGTTTGTTCTTTACATTTTTTTTCCTTCCTTCTTTCCCTTCTTCTTCGTCATACGCTTACTTTTTTTGGTTTTTTTTTTTTTATTTTTTTTTTTTGCTTCTTTTTCTCGTGTTAATAATATAGCGGCACACCACTGCAACGCTCAGCCGGCACAAGCATGCAATTTTCAAACAAATCTCTCTAACTATCAAAAGTCTTTTTTTTGTTGTTGTTTTATTTGTAAATAGAAAAGCCTGTCATGAATTTGTTTTATTTTTTTTTTATTTTTTTTGTTCTCTTTGACTACTGTGGCTACTGCATAATCTCCTACTGAAATTTCCAATCCCATATCTTTTTCTATGCGATTACTTTTGAACACACATCAACACGATTCGTAATCTCGAATCATTTGGTTTTACCGATCGTGGGATTAGTTTTTATAAGAGATCCGTAGTTGACAGTTTTACGGCACGTTTACTAGTTATATGTTTTATCTTTTTTTTTTTTATCCAGTGTTTCAATGAAACTATGAATAATATGTGATTTGTGAAAAAATTGATCGTGTTGATGGATGATCAAATTATTCAATCGTTCTAACTTTTTTTAAATTTCAAACGACAAAGTGTAGTAATACGTAATAAGTAATAATAATTGGCATGAAAGTGCACGATCCCGTGATAAATAGCTGAATAGAAATTTAAAATAAAAAACACGCGTGTATGTGATATATGTAGATGACGAATATATTATATTAGAACGTGTAAAAATACGTGGAAAAAAAAGAACAAAATGAAACCAAACGAAAGCTTGAATTCGACCAAAAAAAAAAAATAAAATAAAATAAATAAAAACGAAAAGCGTAATGGACTACTAACTTGCAAAATTGCAAGTTCTCGCGAAAGAAACTCATTTTTGATTCGTTTTGAATTTTTTTTTTTTTAGAATTACGGTCTCCACCCTCCAAGGTTTCTCGTCCTTACGCTGTTTCACGATACTTTGACGATGCTACATTAGACGAAGTTATTTCAAAGGATTTGAAAAGTGTGAAAATTCCCTTTTAAAAATAATATCGTTACATACTACTTCGACATCGTCAATAGCCATCGTGTTTTGCCTTCTCTTTAAGTAATTATTGTTAGTATTGACATCGAACAATGATTAAACAACAAACTAAATTGTAAGTTCTATACTCGTGGGAAATGAAGGGTTCAAATTCGTCATTCTTGATTGCTTCGGATAATTAAACGTAACACTAATACAAGATTGTAAATACATTCTGTCGATTTATAAGGTGCTTTTACATAAATCAATGAATAATATTTCATTGAAATCCAATATAAATGATATATCTATACAACTAATTAATGCATAATTATTATTTATCGTTGTCAATTGAAAATGATATTTATCGGATATTATATCGAGTAGATGATTTATCGTAAAAGCAACTTCAGTATGGATATACAAACTTTTCCGACAGGCAACTGAGGAATTACACAAAACAAACATGGTCGCGATTAGAGGTCTAGGGGAGTGTGCCGAGACAAGAAACTCAATTATTAAGTTCATCATCAAACAACTCGTTCCGTAGGAAATATATATACCCAAAGATGCATTTGTCGGATTAAAAAGAAAAAGAAAATAACGGGCGCCGTTTATTCGCAACCTCTCCCAATATTTTATATTTTAAATTAATGAAATGATGAAATGTACATCGTACATTTACACGTGGCCTGATGGTCAAATTAAATGAAGAACAAAAAATATTTTAAGGAGAGATTACGAAGAAGAAAGTAAATCAGTCGTTGTGAGAATGAATTTTGTTTGATGCTTGAGAAATTATATTACATTTTGTATTTTATTTTTTAATTGGCATTGCATTGGAGTGCTTTGAAAGAAAAAACGAACGAACGGACGAACGAACGAACGGATTTATGATTTTGAAGGGAAGTGTCGATGATGATACAGAGTTTTGTAATCATTGAGAGGTTGTATATTTTTTTTTTTTTTTTGGTACATTATGCCACTCTAGTGTACTACAAATAGAAACAGATAGAAAGAAAATGGAGAGAAAGATAGAAACAGATTGATAGATAGAAAGAAAGAAAGAAAGAAAGAAAGAATGAAAGAATGAAAGAAAGAAAGAAAGAAAGAAAGAAAGAAAGAAATATAGAAAGTAATAGGTACGAAGGAAATATAAGTCTCACAGGACCTTTTATTTTGATAGCAATTTGGGGCCTGGCAATCCTACCTTGAAAAGTTGTACGCCTATGACGGCGAACACGAACTGCAGGAGGCTGGTGACGAGGACTATGTTTCCGATAGTCTTTACCGCTACGATGACGCATTGTACTACGTGCTGGGTTCAACATTAATTCATAATATATTGATTTGTCCCTACACGAGAGATATTAGGCGTGATCGGCACACATTGCATATATGATTTTCTTTTTTTTTTTTCTTATTCCGTTCTCCACCTCTTTTATCACGTCGCACGAGAACATTTTTGTTTGCAAATTAAAGAAGAACGTGTCTCGTTGCATTACCACCTACATTTCACAATTTAATTCATGACGAATATTTTATAATTCTGGTGCGAGGTTTAAAGAGGAGACAACACAGAGACTTAGCCACGAGATTTTTCGTTTATGTTACACGTCCTCTCACTTTTCCTTGATTCTTCGTCATTCGTCGATAATAAACGCGCGTCGGATACATTGATACGTATCGGTTGCGTTTGTTAAACACTCTTTTTGTTTTTCTTTTGCTATACGAATATTACGTTTTACTCGTTCCGCGACGTGTGTTTGTCTTTACGCACAAGTACACACACACACGGAAGTAGATAAACAGGTAGAACAAACTACCCTCGTAGAATTTGTTAAATACGTCATTTAAAAGATGAATTTCGATGGTTTTAGATAGAATTGTTAAGAGAAATCGCCCTACCTTTAATCCCTTGGCACGATTTATGGCACGTAAAGGTCTCAATACGCGTAGCACCCTGAGTATTTTGACCACCGATATAGCCCCAGAACTGAAAATATAAAAAATAACAATTAAAGACAGATCAGGAAAATACCAATTACCCAAAACTCTTTTTTTTTTTCTTAATTACCTCCAAACTGTGGAAACTAGAGAAACGCAAACGACGAGAAGATCGAGTAGGTTGAAGGCCGATCGGCAAAATGCACCGTCGTGCATAACGAAACCGTACGATATCATTTTCAGGCAGATCTCGATCGTGAATACGGTAGTAAAGAAATTATCGAAGTAATTCAGGATCTGAAATATACGAAAAGATCGCAAGAATGACACATTTTCGTAGAATCTTTGTTGAGTCTTTGATGATTTCTTTCATTTCTCCCCGAAAAAAAAATAAAATAAGAAACGATTTACACACGTGTTAAGCTTTTCTACCTGATTTCTGTACGAAAGTGCACTTAACGGATCCTCTGCAGCCAACATGGCCGAGGATATCATGATGCAGGCTAGGATCACATTACCAAAGTAGCTATGGTTACAAAGCCAATGACAAAAAACTCGAAACCTGTAAATTCAAAGTGTCGTCGCGTGAAACTCTAAACAAAATAATTCAATTGATTATGGAAAGAAATAAAGCGTGGTATTGCAATTACCTGTTGGTCTGAGAAAATAGAAAGAAAGAGGAACCAGGTGGGATGGGTTGTTTTTTCGTAGCCGTGTTGTATTCTGACATTCTTCGTGGCCTGGCCGATACTTCTTGTCCTTCGTCTAACAATGAAAAATCTTTAACATCACAATCTACAATATAAGAAAAGATTAATTTACCCTGTATCTCATTTTGTTCGGCCTCTTCTTCTTCTTCAGCTTCCTCGTCAGACTCGATATTTAAACGTACTTTGTGGGTGTTGCCGTCCTCGCTTTTCTCCGATCTAAAATCGTCCGTTCGGTGGGATAGTAATGTGACGTGTGCGATACAGTTATAGTGATTGCGTGATTGAAATTACAAGGAAGGATTGTGTTAAAGGGTTGTTAGGTATACATATGTAAATCGAGCCTTCGAAATTGACACCATTATGACGTTTGGTCGCGACAAGGTGTCGCGAAGGGTGCACTAATAAGATGGCAAACTATCTAACTAGTAACAGTAATAATATAGGGGTGGGTGGCTTACGTTTCCGTATCCAAAGCAGCTTCGTAATCCTCTATAGTTTCATTAGGATCTTGCTCCATATCGGTAACACCACCCTCATCTTCGCCACCGGTTTCACCTTCGTCACCATGTTCACCGCTGATCTCGTCTCTTGCAGGTGAACCACTGTGAGATTTGTTCTTCTCCGCCTATTAGAATTCAATTTTTCAAAGTATTTTGCTAATGGCACAAATTTGTTAGCACGAGTCAGACTCCTGGTTATAGGCCAAGGGGTTAAACGCATTCGATTATCTATATTTAGTTTGATATATGAAGAGTAATGCGTGCACGTGTGGGTAGGTAAAGTTGTTCCGAGCTTACATCGAATACGGGGGGTGGTGCATGGGGAAAAGGATTCGCAACGAGCGTTAAAAGTCCGTTCAAGCGGGTTCGAACATCATCGACGCGAGTTATATGCAAGTGTGTCACACAGAGCAGGTTCTCTCATAAATGGCTATAAAAGCAAGCGATCACTTGCCGCTCTACTTTTTTTTCTATGCACTGTCACCGGTATACATTATCGTCATAGCTAACACGAGTGAACGTTTAATGTTTCATAAGGTAAACGAAGCTACTCGCGCAACGTATTGGACAATGAGTCAAAAAAGGAAATAGATAGGAAAAAAAAATCTTTTCTCAAAGTCACGGCTATGAAAAAAAAAAATTATGCGATAAAAATAGATGATGCATTTGTAAATGATGCAACCTTACCTCTTCTTCGGCCTCCTTTTCAATGGCCGTTAACGATTCCGCATCTGCAAGATTGTCCACAGCGATGGCCAAGAACACGTTCAGAAGGATATCTGTGTTGCTTCGTTCGTTAAGGATTTAATACGCTATTAATTTGCGAATAAAATATCTCTCATTGTCGAATAGTTTGAAACACTGTTGTCAATCAATGAGAAAAAAGGATACAGTTACCGCATATGAATAGAACGATGAAATAAGTGCAAGCTATAACACCGGGACTAGAAACACCCCCGTAAGCACGAATTCCAACGTACATTACTGCATTCCAATCCTCACCTGTTAATATCTAGAAACGTAGGATCCAAAAATGACAAAATAAACTTTCCCGTTAATGAATATAATATAAAAACTAGTGATAGTACACGCATAGATACACGCACGCTATCAGGGATACGGAAACAGGGTAGGTACAGTTGCTACCTATGCGTGACGTTTCAATTGTCCACTTTGCAATTAGTTTCGTTAATTAAAGTCGCGTTAGGAAACGTTATCTTTTCATCTACTCGTGTATAAAAATATATATATCTTTATATATAAAAATTCAGTGTCACGTTGTTGGTTTGCTATGGACCCTGAAACTACTCAACCGATCTTAATGACATTTGTTTTATTTTTTATTGTTAATTTAAAGATTTATTATTTAGAGGTTTTCTAAGTCTCTAGGCTCTGTATAAATAGTTTAGAATTATATTAAATTCTCTTACCTGAAAAACGGTGAGTAAACTTTGCCAAAAACTATCGAAATTGTGCCGTGGTTTGTCTTGGAGATCGGCGAAATTAAACTTTCCACCGAATACCTGTAAAACAAATGTTCTAAGATAGAAAACTGTCAAATGATCAAAAAAACAATCAAGAAAAAACGTACCTGCATTCCTAAGAGCGCGAAAATGACGATAAAAAGGAAGAGCAGAAGTAAAAGCGAGGCGATAGATTGAATCGAATTCAACAAAGAAGCCACCAAGTTCGAGAGCGATCTCCAATATCTACAAAAAGAATTCAATTGGATCGTTTGATGTGACAAAATCCCTGAATGAACGATCTAAATAATTTCTTTTAGAAGAAGATGTAAGAAGTTCAAATGATCATACCTTTTTTTCGAACAGGTACTTACTTTGTTACTTTGAATACTCTCAACAGTCTTACACAACGGAGCACGGAAACTCCGAGGGGTGGCATTACATTTGTATTCGTAAGGATCATCTCGGTTATCGAGCCGATTACCACGAAACAATCGAAACGATTGAACAAAGATACGAAATAACCCTAAGGAAATATATATATATTTATAAATTATATACAAAAAGAAATACAAAACAACGCGATGTGAGAATATTTGTACCTGAAATCCTAAACTGTACATCTTCAGGATCATCTCCATGGAGAATAGCGCGATAAAAAACATGTTGGTGATCTCTGTAATTGAAAAACACACAAGAGAAAAAAAAACAGAGGAAAAAGATAAAGAAAGAAAGATAAGGAAGAAAAAAATCAAAGTATAACGTTTCAAAGCGGAGAAATGACAACTCTCCCCGCGCAATCGGTTTTACCTTGAAACTCGTCCAACCAATGAGGCTGATTGTAATGTTCGGTAGCGAGTACTACGGTGTTTAAAAAAACGAGTACTATGATGAGCCAATAGAAGGCTTGCGATTTGACGGCTTTTCTACAAGCTCGTCTTAATCGTCGATTAACCCTGGAAAAAATTCACCGAGGGAAGAAAATCGTTTTGAACAATATTTCGAGTGCGATAGGAAAAAAAAGGATTCGAAATGTTGTCAAAATAATACCTATCTAAATCTCGTTTCTTTCTTTTCCAAACTGGTTCCTGTTGAACACCTTTAAAGTCTTCGTCACCCTCCAATTGATCTGTACTCTCCATTTCATTTTGTTGTTTAGCTGAACAAAATAAAAAAATGTCCAAACTACTTTCGCTCGATTCTCGAGAGGATAGAAAATAAAAAGGGGTAGTTTGGTAAATCCCTATAGGAGAAGATATTGCACTCACATTTTCCGTCTTGCGTTTTTGGCTCGTCCGCTTCCGGTTCGATATCCTCCGCTTGAGTTATCCAATCGAGATATCCTCGAAGATCGTCCTCTATCTGTTGTTTTTCTCTTAACTTGTGAAAATCACCGCGTGCCTTAGCCTTCTCTCTTTCCTTTGAGAACTCTCTACGAAATTAGAGTAAAAAAAAATGCATAGACGAATTGTAATCGCGGAATTTTGAGTGAACTTTAACACATTGAGTACGAGAATGCAAACGTATTTTTATCAAAAAGAAAACGATCTTTATAATTGTCGTCAATTAATATTTAAAATAGGATTTGATGAATTTGTAACAAAAAAAAACACGTTCCCAGGTACGTATGTACACCTTTACATATATATATGTATATATCTGGACTCGAGAGACGAGTTAAACATAAAAAGGTAGGGAAAATAAACGCCTATCGTCGATATCGTTTTCACGCATCGATCGGCTCGTTTACTTTGCCGATATGCAACGGAGTGTGTCGCGGTACCTAAAGAAAGAGATATTTATATCTCATCCCCAGTCGAGGATTACAAAACTCCCTCAGGACGGGATACCGACGAGCGCGTACTTAAGATACCTACGCAAGAAGTATCTACACAAAAGTGGATCAAACTCGTTTTTAATACGTTCAACGTTGCATCGCATTTCACCTTACACGCGAACGTATTATTGTTTAATGAAATATTACTTATAAAAACCCACAAAAGTGTATATAGGATGCAACGAGAAAATATAGTTTTAGTTCTATTGAAAAGTATGATAAAAGTTCATCGATGTATATAGTCTTGCAAAACAAACGATACCACAGACCAGCGTGGTACTTTTAAACAGTTTTAATACTTTGACGTCAATTTGAAATTTTCAATCGGCTTAATTCTGCTTATATTATTTAAAAAGTTAAAATATACTCTTCGAAAGAGAAATTAACCATAAGATCGATTTTTTCTCATGCAAATTGATATTATATTATTTTTGTTCTATTTATCACTTACCCAGACAACACACCGAGAATCAAATTCATCACGAAGAAAGCTCCAAGTATAACCATTGAAATAAAATAAATCCATTGCCAAGAACTTCCCATCGCATCTTCTATCTGTAGAAGAAAAAAAAACAAACGAGAGAAAGAGAACAAAACTAAAATGAATTTAAATTCTTTTTTCTTTGCGAACGATTGTTAAAAGGAAACTTACGTTGTAAAGTACTTCGGTCCAGCCCTCGAGGGTGATGCATTGAAAGACTGTGAGCATGGCCAAACCAAAGTTATCGAAATTGGTGATGCCATCGTTCGGACCTTCCCAAAATTGATTGCTGCAGTGATAGTCCGGGCCAACGTTGCTACACTGAAAACCCATAGGACCACAGGGAACTGGATCGCTCATTACCTCATCTGCGAAATATAAAAAACGAAATTTTCCCAGTTAGATTAAAGCTTTGGAAAAGGTTGTTCTAATATGATATATCATAATATTTTAGAATGATATCGTATCTCGATAAAAAAAAAAAGTATGTCTCGTCCCGAGAACAGATCCTCCTCGCGAATATTGCTACAATTTTTTTTGACTCCCTCTTGATGTCTCGCTCTACCCTGGCAAAAATTTTACCCCTGAAAAATCATTGTAAAAATGTGAATGTGTCAGATGTTATCGTTTCTCTCCCCCTATTCCTCCCTCACCCTCTCTCTTTCTCTCCACTACGAACCATTAACTCGACGATCGATCGTAGTTTCCATCCAGCACGAGTTCGTACTTGCGATAAAATAATTTGGCAAGAACGCAAAAGAACAAAACGGAGCACCATATTTTATATTCTTCTTATACTCACACTATTATTCTTGATTTTTCCGTATAACGCCTCCTCCTTTTTTCTTCTTTCTTTCTTCCAAAAATTCTTACGTGTATTTTTTATATGTCAGCGTGAAAACCGTCACTACTCGTTTATGATTTTCTCGTAAAGCAGCTGTTATTACTCGATAAGAAAAGAACTTTACATACGAAAAAAGTCACGGATTTAACAAGCGGAAAGAATAATTAGACATGGCTGAATCATATCTAAAATAACTTAACTCGAAAACTATGTTTTCAGGTTAAACCGAAAAATATTTTCCTCGATTTCCAAGCCAAACTAAAACTCCCGTTCTTATCACCCTCTTTTTTCTCCCCTCGTTTGTTTTATCGAACATGGAACGACGATCAACGGGAAAAAGTTTCTCTCAAAAAAGTTGTGCATTTTTTATTTCAATTCC